TGTCCTGAAATTAAATAAAAATAAGTATAAAGTCCCAACACTAGGAACTCCAAAAGGCATATAAATGAGATACAACTGGAAATTTTTTCTTACCCCAGAACTTTAAAGTTTATGAAAAACACATAAGGAAAACATGAAGTAGGGTTTGAGGTTTTGGGGTTTTTTTTTAGCTAACCCATTTTCTTCCTTTTGATTCAGAAAAAAAAAAAAATGGTTCCTGTTGCCATTAATTTTTCTGACCAGTTTTTATTTTAATTTCTAGAATGTGTCACATATATCAATAAAGAACAGCTTCTGTGGTTTTAACAAATCATCACTTTTGACAGTTAATCCTAAAGCCATTACACTGACCTCTAGTATAGTTCATCTGTGGTAGAAAAGGTATTAATTCATCTGTTGAGGGGCAGAGGAGGGGAGAAAGGAGTGTGAACAAGACCAATTCATGGTCACTAAAGCTAGCTTGTGTTAAAGCTGTGTTTCAGCTATTGTGACAAGCAGGTATGCTCTGAGTCATGAGGTGTTTTCACAGGGTACTTTTCAGGCTGAGTTTGGATTCCAGTGAGTAACAGCATGATGTTCTGGGACTTGCTGTGTTTTTACCCTGTGGTTTTGTGCCTTTGTTTTACTGGTGGAACCGCAGAATGTAAATAAGAGTATCAGGGGGATCTTTGGAGAGCTTACCATTCTTTACTTCGAAATTGGAAAGTATGTTTCAGGAAATCCCTTTTTCCCTGCGGCTTTAGGAGACTTCATTACATGTCAGCCATAGTGTTAGCAGTTCTACAGTTGAGAAATGATTGATTTCCCTTTGGGCTTTCTCAGGACTGACTATTTGAGCTAGAAGGCTAACCTGAGATGGTAAGTTATCATCTAGGATCACTGTTATTAAGGATCATAGGATAATATAAGCTGGAAAGGATCTTAGGAGGTCTCTAGTCCAACCCTCTGCTCAAAGCAGGGTCAGCTTTGAGGTCAGACAGGTTGTCCAGGACATTACCCGTTTGGGTCTTTGCACCCTACAATGGCTGAGACTAGACAACCTTGCTTGACTGTCCTCAGAGTGAAAAAACTTTATATCCTGTCTGAACCTCACTTGTTTCAAATTATGTGAGTTATCCCTTGTCCTTCTGCCATGCACCACTGTGAAGAGCCTAGCTGTCCTCTTGGTATGCTCCCCATAGGTACTGGAGGCTGTTGTTAGGCACCCCCAAAGCCTTCCCTTCTCCAAACTGATCAAGCCCAGCTTCCCCAGACTCTCCCCACAGGGAAGGTGCTCCAGCCTTGACCATATTGG